AGCTCCATGTCCATGTGAGGCCCCCTCAGCGCCTGATCAATAAGTTTTGGTTCGGTCGAAACTGTCGAGTGCCCCAAAATTTGTAATCCAGTTGCTCTGTAGCGAGTATGTGAATTAGTCTCGGTAGTAGTTGCATCGTGTCCTACTTCAGGGTGGAAGTTGAAACCAGAACCCAGAAGTTCGTTCTTGTTAGAAGGAACCTTAGTTGGTGTAGCAACTTCGTAATCAGCGAATGCATTGTATTCGTCGTTGACGTCATTGTCTCGATTTGACTCATCTATCTCGATCAGGGCGGAACAGTAAGGGGCGGCACTGGTAGCTGCTGATGCACCAGAGACAGCATCTTCCACCGCATCTGCTTCGTCGGCTTCGTTGGCGAAGGAGCGTGATGTCTTCCTGTCTGGCGTGCTGCACTTGACATGCGTTGTAGGTGAGACGCTCGTAGAAAAGAAAGTCACGTGCCGGAACTGCCACGCGATCTTCAATGCCCCAAATTTACCAAGCTGCGAACTGTTTCTCGATGCCTAGGAAAAATCCCCATTTTGCTCGTTGTGAACGTATTCCCGCGGGTGTATTTGGAGGCCGACACTGCACCATTTTTGTGTTGCCCAGCTTCCCTGTCCACTCATTGTATGGAGGGGAATTGTTTGGCAGGGACTGTGAGGGTTGTGCAGCAACAACGCGTGGTCCATCGCGAAAGGCCAGTGATGTGCTGGCAGGCGTTCTTGCATAAGCAACTTGCGCATGATGATTTGGAGCGTCCTGTTCATCCATTGTGCTACACCATGCTGTTGATGCTGGTAAGGCAGTGATTGCAGCTTCTTGATTCCTCTTTCAACCGGATAGTCCTTGAAGCGCTGTGATAGATACTCTAACGCTCCGTCTGTTTTGAAAAATCTTGAGCAGTAAGCCACTTTCTCGTTCAGCTACCGGAAGCCATGCGACGAAAGCGTCGTAAGCAAGGTCACGAGATAAGATGAGCGTGTGCCAGACGTAACGAGTGGCAGCGTCGATTAGGGTGATAACGTAGTTACGATCCGGTCGTCCTTCCGGTCGTGGGTGCAGAGAGCCACTGTACTCTGAGGTAGCTGAACTACATGGGAAGTCACGGGTGGTACAAGTGATCGTAGCATTGCTTTTGTTCTCTCTACTTGCACATTCATAGGGCAAATTAGCAAGATTTTCACTAGCAAAAGTTGTGTACACAATGATGCAATAAGCAATGGCTACAAAGGGACTACATCAAAGCCTAGCAACCTAGAACACCAGCGCAGCACCGGGTCGGCTTGCCAACATTGCAAGTCGGCCACGTGTCATCAGATGCGCCCGATGCACCACGTCGACTTTGGAATACCAGCTCGCAGGTCGACTTCGCCAAAATCGTCAGGACGACGTGCGCGCATCCCCGCAGAAGTTCGTCGCCCTTGTTACTCTGTCAACTCGAGAAGCTCCAAGGGAGAAGAGGATTGCACTAGCAAGAATGAGGATACAAATAGCAAACCCTAGAAGGGTTGTACTCGCTATAGAGCACCCCACTACAGGCTAGAGCATAAGATAACATTCTGACACACCCCCATAGCCAAAGTGGGGTGTAATCAGCAGAGTAAGCAAAGGAGTACAAGCTCAGGGTGGATCACAATGTCACCACACATTCTGAGCACAAGTTCAAGAAGCAATAGTTTAAGTTCACAATTATGAGCAAAGCTAGTGGTAGTCACAACGGGCAAGTGAGGAGGAGGAGAGAGAGTGAGAGGAGAGGAGATAGGAGGCGACGGCTGAAGCTGCAGACACACAGGCAACAGGAGGCAGACTGGCACAGCGGCTACCGGACGAAGTCCCCGGAATACAGGAGTAACAGGCCCCGCGGCTAAAGTAGCGGCAGACGAGCAACGGACCCACGGGCGGCTGGCACAGCTGGCTACGACTGGGCTACCGGACGAAGTCCCCGGAATACAGGTGCTGCTGGCGACACGACGGCAACCTCCATTCAGCTTCCCCAAACTATCCCACTCCCCCCTGGCACATACCCGCTGCTACACCGCTAGCTCCACTCCCCCTTCACCCCCCCTTAGTACCACTCCACCGGCTCCAACACGTCCACCCCCCCTCAGCGGCAGCTGCAGCACAGGGAGACGGAGGAGGAGGAGGAGCAGGGAACAGTACACAGTGGGTGCACCCCCATACCCCGCACCCCCAAACCCTAATACAGGAGAATGGGGAGTAGGAGGGGTGGGGCACGAGTAGAAGCGCTGGGGGACAGTAGGGAGGGCAGGGGCAGCAAGGAGCGGGCCCACCACGGGCCTGGTAGGGTCGCCCGAACCGCGCGTAGGCGGCCTGAGCCGCGCGCGGGCCTGGCGCCGCCCGTACGGGCCGCGCGCGGGCCTGGCGCAGCCCGTACGGGTGGCGCGCGGGCCTGGCGCAGCCCGTACGGGTCGCGCGCGGGCCTGGCGCAGCCCGTACGGGTCGCGCGCTGGCCTGGCGCAGCCCGTACGGGTCGCGCGCTGCCTGTACGGGCCGCGCGCAGGCCACGACGGGCGACGGGGGGCGACGAACGGGTCCCCGTCGCCCGTCGCGGCGCCTCCCGAGGGCGACGCGACGGTTGACGGGGCCGAAGCCCGCCGCGCGCCTCGGGGCGCACAGCGGGCAGAGAACCGCCGCGCGCCTCGGGGCGCACGGCGGGCAGAAAACCGCCGCGCGCCTCGGGGCGCACGGCGGGAAGAAAACCGCCGCGCGCCTCGGGGCGCACGGCGGGAAGAAAACTGCCACACGCCACGGGGCGTGCGGCACCGAGTGTAGTGGTAGGAGTTGCAGCGGAAGCTAGGAGGTGGTAAGCCCACCCACAGGATCGATCCAAGGGGATCGACCTGCTCTGATAGCATGTTAAAGTTTAGAAGAAAGAAGAGGATTGCACTAGCAAGAATGAGGATACAAATAGCAAACCCTAGAAGGGTTGTACTCGCTATAGAGCACCCCACTACAGGCTAGAGCATAAGATAACATTCTGACAGCGTCGACTTGAAAGTTGGTCAACATTCGCCGGGTCAACGAGCACCTTCGTCGACCTCCCGAGCCAAGCACTGCAATCGACTTCGCCGACCTCGCCGCAGTGCTTCAGCTGAAGTCGACCACGGTCGTCGACTTCACCCTCCAGGTCGATGCCGACCCCGCGCCCAGCCGGTCGTACACCTCTCCCGCCGGTCAGCGATGTCGGCTTCACCCAAGCAAGGGCGGGGCCACTTTCTCGTCAATAGTGGGATAACCAAGATGTTGTTGTAAAACCTTTCCAATGGTTTGTATGCAGGAGCGATCGGGTTGTGATGCGACGTGAACGGTTGTCGAGGAAGGTCTGCTTCAGAAGTTCTTGTCGTCAATCAGCAGTAAGGCATCTTTGTCCAGAACCCCGACTTGTATGATCTTATAAGTTGCCATGCCGTTGGGATGTCCTAACATCTATTTTCTGATGGTGCGTGTCCTGCAGATCGCTGATATAATTTGAGTTGGCAAAGAAGGCGTTGTAATTTGCATGACTACTAGGAGACTTCGTATAATTTGCCCAACAAGCGCCGGCCGTTGTTCGCACTTTTTGTCTTTGCGTTGGTAGTGGAGGAATCAACTAGTCTGACTAATCCTGAGATGTACCTGTCTGTGTTGGTAGTGGAGGACTGCACTTGCATATGTGCTACAGGTTGGCTAGGTTGTCAGAGGTCCACTGGAGATCCCCGATTGATCCTAGGGAAGGGTTATAGGCACGTTGGCCTGGGGGGTTATAGGCGCACTCACCCTTTTATCCCAGTGGTTAGTGGCTGGGATTCTGACATGGTATCAGAGCGAAGGTCTCGGGTTCGAATCCTAGCGTGTGCACCTAGGGCATCCCAGTGCGGGGGGGTGTCACAGGTCCATAAGAGATCCCCGATTGATCCTAGGGAAGGGTTACAGGCACGTTGGCCTGTGGGGTTATGGGCGCACTCACCCGCTACACAAACAAGCCCTTTTATCCCAATGGTTAGTGGCTGGGATTCTGACATAGGTGTGGGTATACGGCACACAAACATTTTGCTATTTTGCGAGGGAAACCGAGTGATAAATAGAGGTGCAATTCAATGTTGGTCAAGAGGCGTATACGACTTCAACACCTCAGTAAATTGCAATGTTACCTTAGTGTTTACAGGTCTACAATGTACGGACTTACCTCGTGTGGTGAAGGTGCTCACAAGTCTTGACTACCGCATGACGAATGGTTCGTGTACATCTTGAATAACAGGTTTGTAAGAGTAGACAACTGGTATAGTCATGATGAGCAAGGCGGATCAATGAACATGAGATCTTCCATGCGGGGATTTACTTTGCAGCGTTGGCCTGACCATGGACAGCATATACCTTACGTCTGTTCACATTTAGAGGAATTTGCACATGCGGAGCAGGGTGTGAACACGGCGAGGAAACTCGACAATGGTGTTGTCCATGTTACACAAGGTGTCCAAAATAAATGTGCGCGCGCGCGCGCGTGTGTGTGTGTGTGTGTGTATGTGTGTGTGTGTGTGTGTGTGTGTGTGTGTGTGTGTGTGTGTGTGTGCACGCGCGTGCGCGTGTGTGTTGCACAACATCTTGCACAACAATGCAGCTACTCTAAGCTCTATTTGTAAACAACCGAATTTTCCCTTTTTGTGTACATCCATGACTGCAGATTCATGACTGTGTACTCGTGCTATCATCATCATGTTGACCTAGGCGAGAGGCTTGTAAGGTTTCAGAAGCAGGGGTATCTTTAACAGTCGTTGGTCCTATCAGTGCATGTGTGGTAATATTGTTCACACCAAGAATAGTGTACATCACATCACAAGAAAGTCTTTCCCTTTCTCATGTGCAAACATCCACAACCAACATTGCCTAAGCAATATCATAAAAAAAATCCCCTTGATACTAGCATCCCACATCCCCAACCGACTTGATGCAGACTAACAATGATAACCACTGCCTCTGAAAACTTACTCACCGCCAGCCTAGAAGGGCATGGATCCAACAATGTTCCCCTGCGGAGAGTAATCACACACCCACATGCCGCCCCCATCAGGGCACTGCGCAGAGGCACAGCCCACATGCGTGGTGTCCTGCCACACCACCTGCGTGTAGTGCCCACACATCTTCCCCTCCACACACCCATCCGGAATCGGACTAGGCGTCCAGTCAGCCTTCTCATCCACCCACGCCTGCACGGCCCCACGGTCCTCCTCGCTTGTGAGCCCAGCAGGGGTGAGCCAGTAGAGGTACTGCCCGAGCCCCTTTGCACCGCCGTGCTTCAACGGGCAGTTGATGGATGCGAGGTGGTTCGCCCACTCCTGCGCTGCTGCCGCCACTCCGTCGTCCCACGCCAGGTCCGGCACGCCCACTTCACGCCGTGCGGCATTGTGCTCCTCCAGGATCGCTGCAGCGTCCACAGAGCCGCTGCCGCTGCCATTGCTACTGCCATCGCCAGCATAATCACCACCGTCGCTGCCATCGCCAGCATAATCACCATCGTCGCTGCCATCGCCAGCATAATCACCACCATCGCTGCCATCGCCAGAATAATCACCACCGTCGCTGCCATCGCCAGCATAATCACCACCGTCGCTGCCATCGCCAGCATAATCACCACCGTCGCTACCATCGCCAGCATAATCACCACCGTCGCTGCCATCGCCAGCATAATCACCACCGTCGCTGCCATCGCCAGCATAATCACCACCGTCGCTGCCATCGCCAGCATAATCACCACCGTCGCTGCCATCGCCAGCATAATCACCACCGTCGCTGCCATCGCCAGCATAATCACCACCGTCGCTGCCATCCCCAGCATAATCACCACCGTCGCTGCCATCGCCAGCATAATCACCACCGTCGCTGCCATCTCCAGCATAATCACCACCGTCGCTGCCATCGCCGGAATAATCACCCCCGTCGCTGCCATCGCCAGCATAATCACCACCGTTGCTGCCACCACCATTGCTGCCACACGTGCTTCTTGGGTCCCTGCTACATGGGTCCTCTTCTCCAGATCCGCCACTGTAATCGTTACTCTCAAAAATTGCACTGTGTGCTCCTGAGGCGGTGGCCACTGGGAATAAGTGTGCAGTTCGTTCTGCCAATGAGTGTGCAGCCCTGGCGTTCCTGCCACCGGCGTTCCCAGTCGCGCCAGCCCTGGGGTTGCTGAGCGCCGCATTGGCTTAGTCATGGAGGTCGCTCGTACCTCCATGATCCAAGCGGCTGCCCCCCATTTTCTGTGGCCGTTTGCGGTCCGATACGCTGCGCATCAGCTCAACCTCTGGCCCCGTGTCTCCTTGCCGGAGACCTCGCCCACACTGCGGTGGACGGGGAAGGTTGGCGATGCGTCGGTGTTCCGGGTCTGGGGTTCTCGTGCATTTGTTCGCGATACTACCGCGGACAAGCTCTCCGCCCGCGCTATTCCCTGCGTCTTCCTTGGCTTTGTCCCTGACGCGCCTAGCTGGCAGTTTTACCACCCCACCTCGCGCCGTGTCCTGCCCTCTCAGGACGTCACGTTCGACGAGTCGGTTCCCTTTTACCGTCTCTTCCCCTACCGCACTGCCCCTCTCCCCCCCCCGCCGCTCTTCCTCGCACCAGGTCCTCCTCCGGTAGACCCCCTCCCCCCTCAGGGTCCTGCTCCCTCAGGTGTGTCTCAGGTAGACGCGGTCGAGCCTGTCGAGGTAGCGGTTGACTCTGGTGCTGCTACTGGGGTGCTGCTGGGGGTACTGAGCCTGAGCGTGCAGAGCCTGGGGGTGCTGAGCCCGAGCATGCGGAGCCTGGGGGTGCTGAGCCTGAGCGTGTGGGGTCTGGGGGTGCTGAGCCTGGGGTTGCTGAGTCTGAGGGTGCTGAGCCTGGGGGTGCTGAGCCTGGGGGTGCTGAGCCTGGGGGTGAGCCTGAGGGTACTGAGCCTGCGGTTGCTGAGACTGGAGTTCCTGCAGGTGCCTCGTCTCGGCGGGAGCCTCTCTCTCCACCGCAGCTACGCAAGTGGTTTGCTCGCCGCTGGAGACTCCAGCGAGGAGCTGCTGGAGCTGGGGGGCCTGCCGCTGGAGCCCCTGGAGCTGGGGCTACTGGTGTTACTGGAGCTGGAGGTGCTGCCGGCGTTGGAGCTGGAGCTGCTGGAGTTACTGGAGCCACTGGTCCCGGAGGTGCTCGTACAGGATGTACTGGAGCTGCTGGAGCTGGTGGTGTTGCAGGAGTTGGAGCTGGAGGTACTGGAGCTGTTTCTGCTGGAGCTGGGGGTGCTGCTGGAGCTGGAGCTGCTGGAGGTGCTGGAGCTGGTGGTACTGCTGGCGTTGGAGCTGGAGACCCTGGAGCTGGGGGTACTGGTGCTGTCGGTGCAGGTTCTGGAGGCGCTGTGCGGCCGCGACCGTACTTCATTCCACTGCTTCAGCAGGTTCTTGGTCTCCCGCCTTCTACTCACCCTACTCCTCCCTTACTGTGTCCACCGCCTGACCAGTCACAGTCGCAGTTACAGCCAGCCTCCCCACTGCCTGCTCCTTCTCCCTACGCTGGGCCGACAGGAGGTCTTGCGGAGCGTCGTGAGCCTGAGTCTCGTCCTGCGTGGCCTGTTCGCGCTGTTCGCACTGGTCGTCGTGTTCCGCGTCAGCGTCCTCCTGCTGTCCCAGGCACGCACCAGATGGCACTTTGTCCTTCCACTGCTCCACAGCGTGTCCCTCTGCCGTCTCCTTCTGCGTCCTCTCTTCCTGACGTTGCTGACCCGCCGTCAGACCTTGCTCGTGCTGCCAGTCCTACTGCCACGCGTCTTCTCGCTACTGTTGTCACTGACCCTTCGTTTGAGTCCACTGCTGCGTCTGCCCTAGTTGCTGAGCTTGTTGACTTTGCTGCCGCCTGTCGTCTAGACTACGCCGCTAGTCTTGTTGCTGAGTCTGAGTCTATCTGTCCTCCGTCCGTCGGGGGTGAGTGTGCTCTTGGCACGGACGTCCTTGAGGACAGGCAGGAGGAGTTTGAGTGTTTTGCCGCTGCTTTACCTCATCTCGTGTCCATGCTGCTTGCACCTGAGGGAGACCCGGATGCACCTGACATCCCGACCCCGCGCTCTTACGCAGAGGCGATAGAGGGTCCCTACTCCTCTCAGTGGCAGACAGCCATGGACGCAGAGATGGCTTCATGGAAGTCCACAGGCACCTACGTCGACGAGGTTCCCCCACCTGGGGCGAACATCGTCAGTGGCATGTGGATTTTCAGGGTGAAGCGGCCGCCGGGTTCTCCGCCTGTCTTCAAGGCGCGTTACGTTGCACGAGGCTTCAGTCAGCGAGAGGGAGTTGACTTCTTCCAGACCTTCTCCCCGACCCCGAAGATGACCACTCTTCGGGTGCTGCTGTACGTCGCCGCTCAGCGTGACTACGAGCTTCACTCTCTTGACTTCAGCACAGCCTTTCTACAGGGCAGCCTGCACGAGGAGATCTGGCTGCGCCGACCACCTGGCTTCACTGGGTCGTTTCCTGCTGGTACCCAGTGGAGCCTCCGGCGGCCAGTCTGCGGTCTCCGCCAGGCGCCCCGAGAGTGGCACGACACAGTGAGGAGGACTCTTGCGGCTCTTGGGTTTGCTCCTTCCACTGCTGACCCGTCGTTGTTTCTACGCACCGACACCTCTCTGCCGCCGTTCTACGTCCTCGTGTACGTCGACGACTTGGTCTTTGCTACTGCTGACACTGAGGGACTCGCCCACGTGAAGTCGGAGCTGCAGAAGAGACACACGTGCACAGACCTGGGTGAGCTGCGCAGCTATCTTGGCTTGCAGATCACCCGGGACAGAGCACAGCGCACCATTACTTGACTCAGTCACACATGGTGCAGCAGGTCCTTCAGCGCTTCGGCTTCACGTACTCCTCGCCACAGTCCACTCCTCTGCCTACTCGTCACTCGCTCTCAGCTCTGCCTTCGGATGAGTCCGTAGAGCCGAGTGGCCCGTATCCAGAGCTTGTGGGCTGCCTCATGTACCTGATGACCTGCACTCGACCTGACCTTGCCTACCCTGGCACGCTATGTTGCTCCTGGGAGACACCGGAAGGAGCACATGGATGCCGCTAAGAGGGTGTTGCGCTACTTGTGCAGTACGTCGGGCATGGGGCTCGTGCTTGGAGGACGGGCTCGAGTTGTCCTCACTGGTCACGCAGACGCTTCCTGGGTTGACGACTTGGCTACGCAGCGGTCGTCACAGGGTTACACTTTCAGCCTTGGCTCCGGCTCTGCTTCGTGGCGGTCTACCCGCTCGTCTTCTGTTCTCAGTTCCAGTTGTGAGGCTGAGATCTACGCAGGGGCCATGGCTGCACAGGAGTTACGCTGGCTCACCTACCTGCTGACCGACTTGGGAGAGCCGCCTCGTTCTCCTCCAGTTCTGTACGTCGACAACAAGGCCATGATTGCCTTGTGTCAGGAGCACAGACTGGAGCACAGGACGAAGCACATTGCTCTGCGCTACTTCCTTGCTCGTGAGTTGCAGCAGCGTGGTCAGCTTCGTCTTGTTTACGTGGCCTCTCGGGCCAACACTGCTGATATCTTCACCAAGGCACTTCAGCCTTGTGATCATCAGCGTTTCTGTACTGTTCTAGGCCTTGTGCCTACCTTGCCTCACTTGCTCACTTCTTGACTTTGCTTGTACTGTGATCTATATACTTATGCCTGCATGCTTACACTTGCTAGGTTGTGATCACTGTACTGCTTGTTCTCCATTATATAACTCTGCATGTGAACTGGCCTTGTGGCCATTTGCTTGTGCTCAGAATGCGTGGTGACTTCGTGATCCACCCTGAGCTTGCTTTGCTTTTCTTGACTGGTCTTGTGACCTCTTGTTCTCCCCCACTTTGCCTATGGGGGTGTGTCAAACTTATATGCTATAGTCTGTGTAGGCTGTAGTGGGGTAGCCCATATGGGGTACAACACGTTTAGGGTTTCCTACTTGTACCCACATTGCTGCTAGTATGTCATTCTCGTTTTCTATCTTTAAAACGCTCGATGGATTTGTTCCCGTTAGTCTTAGTGAAAAAAAAAAAAACAAACAAAAAAAAACAAAAAAAAAACCCCACTTGCTCGATAGTATATTTTGCCCGGCGACTGACAGAAGAGGAATTAAATCCTGCGTATTGCAGTCGTGCAACGCCTTTAGCTCCATGTCCATGTGAGGCCCCCTCAGCGCCTGATCAATAACTTTTGGTTCGGTCGAAACTGTCGAGTGCCCCAAAATTTGTAATCCAGTTGCTCTGTAGCGAGTATGTGAATTAGTCTCGGTAGTAGTTGCATCGTGTCCTACTTCAGGGTGGAAGTTGAAACCAGAACCCAGAAGTTCGTTCTTGTTAGAAGGAACCTTAGTTGGTGTAGCAACTTCGTAATCAGCGAATGCATTGTATTCGTCGTTGACGTCATTGTCTCGATTTGACTCATCTATCTCGATCAGGGCGGAACAGTAAGGGGCGGCACTGGTAGCTGCTGATGCACCAGAGACAGCATCTTCCACCGCATCTGCTTCGTCGGCTTCGTTGGCGAAGGAGCGTGATGTCTTCCTGTCTGGCGTGCTGCACTTGACATGCGTTGTAGGTGAGACGCTCGTAGAAAAGAAAGTCACGTGCCGGAACTGCCACGCGATCTTCAATGCCCCAAATTTACCAAGCTGCGAACTGTTTCTCGATGCCTAGGAAAAATCCCCATTTTGCTCGTTGTGAACGTATTCCCGCGGGTGTATTTGGAGGCCGACACTGCACCATTTTTGTGTTGCCCAGCTTCCCTGTC